TCCTGATTTGTTGAAGGATGAAAATAATATCCAGGACATATTTTTCTGAAATGTCATGAACTTCTGGAAATCTAGATACTAAACTGAGATTTCCAGAAGTTAAAGACATTTTATGTACTTAATATTAGAGTCATACTTCAAATTTTCAGGACGTTTCAGAAAATTATGTCCTGAAGTTTACTACCAACTCATTTTAAAAATAAGATGTAGCAAGCTGCAGACGTCAAGTTTTATAAAAAAAAAAAAAAGGACTTTCTTATTTACTTATGGCAAGAGTATAATCCCATAAATAATAATTGATCCGACAAAGGAAATTTGAACTCCCAAAAAAAAGAAAAAGAAACAAAGAGCACTTTCCAGAATTAAAGGACATTTTAGAAATTTATGTCCTTAATATTAGAGTCATACTTCAAATTTTCAGAACGTTTCAAAAAATTATATCCTGAAGTTTACTTGTACCAATCTCATTTTAAAAATAAGATGTAGCAAGCTGCAGGCGTCAAGTTTTATAAAGAAAAGGACTTTCTTGTTTACTTATGGCAAGAGTATAATTCCATAAATAATAGTTGGTCCGGCAAAGGAAATTTGAACTCCCGAAAAAAGAAAAAGAAACAAAGAACACGTAAGCACATAGAAACTTTGAAAATTCAGGATATTTTTTATATAACCATCTGCTAAAGTTTACTTGCTCAAATAAAAACAATCTAAATGAATCCAATTTATAGCAAAAAATTAAAAGACTAGATAAACAAAAGTTGATAGATCTATATTTCTCTATGCTTCCTTGAAAATGGGTGGACTGCTGGAGAATATATACAAGATGTTCTATTATGACCAATTCTTCTGCAACGACCACATTTGAATGTTATTTTTGATGATTTGGTAGCTGGAATATGCCTTTTCTTCTGCCTTCTACCTGGCGGGACCTTGAAATCTGGAGGTTTAATAATTTGTGACTTAACACTCTCTGCTACAATCTTTGAATCCGTATGTCCTACAGGATGTATTTGTCTTTCATACATTTTCAGCCAAGATTCCTTTAAGTACCAGTCCGAGCAGAAATTGGACTTCTTGATGTTTCTCTTCTCGATAGCTGCAATTGCATGTATACATGGTAATTCATCTAATTGAAACTGAAAAACAATCACATGTTCTTTTGTTTAAGTCCACCAAGAAAGTGTTTCCTTCTTCCTCAACTCTAGAACACCATGAATCAATAGGGAAGACCTTCAAAGTTGAAAAACTATAATCTAGTACATTATGTTAAATTATCATTAAAATAATAAGATAAAGTAAGAACATAATACTTACATTTAAAGTAAAAGCTAAATCTATCTTGTTCTTCAATTCCTCTTCTACACAACATTTTCATAAAAAGTTCCTTCCGCTTCATTTCTTCTTTCATAAAACCAACGTTTTAGATTCACTTGGATGAAATCCATCATTCTCAATATAGGCAGCTCCCTTGCTTCTAATAGCACAGAATTCATTGACTCAACTATGTTTGTTGTGAACATGTCATATCTTCGTCGTGGACAACAAGAACGTGACCACCTTTCCGGTGGTTCTTCCATCAAGTAGTCAAAGTCTTTTTATTAACTTTTACTATCTCTGACATGTATAGATCAAATTCTTTGCGCCTGTATACTCTTGCAGCACTTTGAAAATTTTTATGACCTCACTTTTTACTTTTCTTCGCTTTAGGTTCTGCTCCAAATGATAGATACAAAACCCATGGTGGCTTTCAGGATATACCTTTGCGATGTCATGTGCAATAGATTGATGCCTATCTGATAAAAAAAATTAAATTTTCACAGCTTCCAATTGCATTGTGAAGCTCACTAAAGTACCACTCATAGGAGTTGTATTTTTTATATTCTGTAATCCCAATGGCTATGTGGAATATTTGGTTATTTGCATCCTTTGAAACTGAAATCATTAAAACACCACGATATTTTGACTTCAAAATAGTTGCATCAACAACAATCACCGGTCTACAATAATTCCAACCAGCTATTGATGATCCATATGCATAAAATATATAAACAAACCTAAAAATACAGTTTAACAATAGAAGGTGAAAATACAGGACACCACGTCCTTAACATATACACCGCACACATCAAAGTTAAGGACACCATGTCCTTAACATTTACACTGCAAACATCAAAGTTAAGGACATAATGTCCTTAATATTTACAATGCACACATCAAAATTAAGGACACCATGTCCTTAACATTTACACTGCACCCATCAAAGTTAAGGACATGGTACACTGCACCTATCAAAGTTAAGAACACCATGTCCTTAACATTTATAATGTACACATCAAAGTTAAGGACACCATGTCCTTAACATTTATACTGCACACATCAAAGTTAAGGACAACATGTTCTTAACATTTACACTGCACCCATCAAAGTTAAGGACACCATGTCCTTAACATTTACAATGCACACATCAAAGTTAAGGACACTATATTCTTAACATTTACACTGTATCCATCAAAGTTAAGGACACCATGTCCTTAATATTTACACTGCACACATCAAAGTTAAGGACATTATGTCCTTAACATTTACAATGCACACATCAAAGCTAAGGACACCATGTCCTTAACATTTACACTGCACCCATCAAAGTTAAGGATACCATGTCATTAACATTTATAATGCACACATCAAAGTTAAGGACATCATGTCCTTAACATTTACACCGCACCCATCAAAGTTAAGGACACCATGTCCTAAAGTTTAAACAGACTAATAAACTCTTTTTGACTGATTACCTGTTGTTGTCGTCTATCTTTATGTTAGTGTATGTTCCCGGGTTTTTACTTTTTATCATGTACAAGTATGAAGACAATAATTCATAATTCTCTTCAGGAGTTCCTCTCATTAAAGCTGAAGCACGTTGAATAGCACGTCACGCCTTGTGATAACCAATGTCTACTCCATGCAATTTTTGCATTTCTGCCATGACAAAGTCTGGTGTAACTTCAAACCTTGGGTCTCGAAGATTGTCAATGTGTAACCACTAATCAACTTTGAAGTTGCATGCCTTTGATCAGCTTTCGTAGTGTTAACTGAGCAGTCATGATTTTTCTCAATCTTTACTATCTTGAATAGCGTTGAATCTTTAATTATGAAAGCACGCACACACCACCCACAATTTTCATCATTGCATTTCAATAAATATCTTGTTGAGCTTGATCGAACAACCTTGAATTCAAAATGGCCTTTAATTGCTATATTCGAAAAATATTTAATTATACTCTTCTTTTTGTCAAATATTGATCCCACTTTTATTCATCCAACGAAGCATTTTCTCTTAATATTATAGTTGGGGATTCTTTTTGTTTCGACTTTGAGCTTCGTCTAGTTAGTTGAGTAGAGGATTTTTTTAGCAACTTCTTCTATTACTGGTGCACTCTCTAAGACTTAATTACCCAAAGCTTGTTGGTTGTCAATCTCTATAATGCTTTGTCCTTCCACTTGAATAGAATTAAATATTTGAAGCACCTCTTCAATTATTGGTTCAGGTTCAACCACATCTATTTCCATTATCTGTTGGCATTTGTCTTGATTGTCTTGTTGAGTTTCTATATTGACATGTTCAAAGGTGCTTGTAGAGACAAAAACTATTTCCGAAGCATCAACAATGAAACGACAGCCCTTGAAGAGTGAATGACTTTTTAGTAACTCTATACATGTGTGGAGATTTAAATCTTTGGATACAACCATTCCCTTGCTAGTTCCCAGGTTGATATCAAACCATATCATTGCTTCAAACTTGTCTCTATCCAATTCAATTACTTCAAAGACCTAGTTGACGAAATCTTCAAATCGAATTGACTTAGGTACTAGAACAAGCTTTGTTTGATGATCCAGAGAGTTATAGTCTGCGGTCCATCTACCATTAAAAATAACTATAATACATATTGTATCCATCGTGCAAGTCAAGAAAATGGGAAATTCAGGACACTGTGTTCTTAATATTTGCGCAGTAGTCAAGAAGTTAATGACACGATGTCCTAAGCTTTATCAGTACAAGTTGCAAATACAGGACACTTTGTCCTTAATATTTATACAGCAGTCATGAAGTTAAGAACACGATGTCCTAAACTTTATTAATACAAGTTGCAAATACAGAATACTTTGTCCTTAATATTAATATATAAGTTATGAAGTTAAGGACACGATGTCCTAATTTCTAAACTATATCAATACAAGTTGCAAATACAGGACTTTATGTCCTTAATATTTACACAGTAGTCATAAAGTTAAGGATATCGTGTCCTAAACTTTATCATACAAGTTGCAAATACAGGATACTTTGTCATCAATATTCATGAAGTTAAGGACACAAATGTCCTTAACTTTATCAATACAAGTTGCAAATACAGGACACTTTATCCTCAATATTTACACAACAGTCATAAAGTTAAGGACACGATGTCCTTAACTTTATCAATCCAGAAAAAGAAAAAAAAAATATCAAATTTCTTGCATCTTATTCTCCAGCAACCAAATAAAAATCCACACATAGATATTTGAAATTTTAGGACAAACTGTAATTTTATGATAAAATTTGGACGAGAAAGTTGAATACTCTAGTTTGAAATAGGAGGAGAAAGCTTGAGCGATCACAAGCAAAGTTGGGCAAAGTTCTGTGCAATCACAAAAAGCTTATTTACGTTCTCTATAGGTAAATAAGTTGAGCGAATTTATCACCTAAATAAGGAATGTAGGTTTCAGCAAAATTATTATAGCAGAAGGGTATTTCGTCAAGCGTGTAAAAATTTATTAAAGTAGTGGTTAAAAACTAAAAATATTTTAAACAGTAACTTAAAATAAAATCTTATTAGTGGCTAACAGTGCACGTACCCTTTAATTTGCACAGAAGATATTTCTCACATTATTCACGTGGCTGGTTGGAAACTGCACACTTGTTTCAGTGAGATTAAAATTCGAAAAGTCACCTTATAAAATACCAGAAAACAATAATACTCCTAGTTGCAACTCTCACTACCCCTCTTATTAGCAATGCTCCAAAACCCAATTGACTAAACCTCTCAAATCTTGTACTACAATGGAGAACATATACGATTTTTCCACCATCTCTTCAATTTCTCAGCCTAAGAAAAATCTTGGATTTTCTTGGACTGTGACTAATTCCGCAACTTCAGTAACAAATGGGAAAATTCTCTCTTTGACCAAGTTCAAGAATTTGAGCACTGTTTCGTCTACCTTGAAGCTGCAGTGTCAAAAATCAAGACATGCATGTGTAGTGAACTCAGTCGCAGGAGCTGATTCATCTGTTGAAATGACAAAAGAGGAAAATAGGGAGGCTGTGAAACCGGTTTACTCTTCTACACCTTCTAATCGTCCTCTTCGAACTCCTCATAGCGGGTAACAGGACTACTAATCCATGCCCTTCTTGTTTTTGATGATATAGCTGAATGGAATTGATATATAACAGTAGTTGTCTAAAAAAAGATTTGAAGCACCCCATCAAATTTATGTGTGTATGATTTTTTATTGAAATCCATGCGATTTTTGATGATTTTTAGGTGAATGATACTGAAATATTACAGTAATTCTCTCAAAAAAAATTTGATTCTTAAGCACCCATCAAATATTAGATATTTGATGTTTAATTGAAATCCATGCCATTTTTGATGATTTAGTTGATGAAATTGAAATATAAATACTCCTTCCGTTCCAATTTATGTGAGGTAGTTTGACTCGGTACGGAGTTTAAGAAGAAACAAATTTTTTATTTGAAACTTGTGGTCTTAAAAGCTTAAGGGGTCGTTTGGTTCGAATACGGCTTATGCCGGGATAAGTTATGCCGGGATTAGTTATCCTGGTATTGTTTTTTATCCGCTGGTTGGTACGTTGTATTAAAAATGACAATTGCATAATTTCTAAGGAGAAGGTATAAGTTATCCCAGCACTAATTACCCCACCCTCTACAAGGTATAAGTTATACCGGTACAAATTTTAAATCCCGGGATAACTTATACCAGTTTTGCTAAGCAAACAAAGTATTAAGGTGGTATTAATTTTGTATACCAGCACTATACCTTCTTATACCTCGTACCAAACGACCCCTAACGGTAAAAGCTTTTGTGGGGCCTTCAATTTGTGTGACTATAAAAGCTTGTAAAATGGTTAAGTGAGAAGTTCTGTTTCCAAATATAGAAATATATCATTCTTTTTGGAACAAATTAATAAGGAAAGTGTGTCGTATAAATTGAAATGAGGTGAGTACTAAATTTCTCAAAAAATTGACTTTTAATTGAGATCCGTGCCATTTTTTATGATTTAATTGAATGAAATTGAAATGTAATAGTAAATTCCTCAAAGGATTTGATTGTTAAGCGCCCATCATATTTATGTGTTTGATCTTTAATTCCAAATATGAGAAAGAAAGTTGCTTGGAAAGAATTGGAAAAATGCAGTATTTGTTTACTGAGAAGAGTGGAGGTGTGAAGTAATCTGGAGTTAGAATTTGCTTTTTGATATTTAGAGTGGAATATAGAAGTAGGATGACCCATTTGTGATAATTTACTTTGTAGTTTGGTCATTGGTGCAGTATAAGTCATGTTATTTTGATGTCTTAGGTACCATTTTGATGGAAGTAGCAGAAAATTCTTTGAAGGTTGGTTCTTTAAGGTATCAATTCCAGAATGCAGACAGAGTTTCTGCTTTATGTATTCTGTAGAGAATCCTGCATTTCCCAAGAAATTGAGCAGCTTTGAGGAGTTGCAATATGGTCCTCGGTTTACTGGTGTGGGAGCTCAAATTCTTGGTCCAGATGACAAGTATATTTGTCAATATACTCAAGAGTCTTCAAACTTCTGGGGAAGTATGTTCTTACAATTTTCTATGTGATTTTTGTTATTTTGAGCTGGCAATGAGTTTCTGTGGTACTAGGACTGAAGCCCCTCTATCAAAGTGGATTATCATCTCTTCTCATGCGTAGTAGTAGTTCAGTAAATGAAAGCTATTCCTGTCCTTACCTTTCATCTTTTTAGCAGAAGAAGGTTTCTGTCTTCCCTTATGAATTTCCTTTGAAGTTATTCAGAGCCTTGTCATTTTAAATCAGTCATATTAGGAATTTTCTCGGTGTGACCAATTTCACAGTGTGCTAAAACCACGAGGATGTTCTCTACTTATGATTTCTCTCTCTTATTTGTTCTAGTCACATCTTTCTATAATGAGGATTACTTTTGAATATAGCATGCAGTTTTACCTTTTTATATCCCACCAAGAATCGTCTCTTGTCGGGAAAAGGACTAGTATTGTTTTCCGCAATGTAGCATGTTGTTGTGTTCCGTTTAAAATTTTCCCTATGCTCTAACGGATAACAGTATGTTATGATCAGGTAGGCATGAACTGATGCTTGGGAACACCTTCATTGCCCAAAATAGTGCTAGGCCTCCAAATAGGGAAGTTCCTCCGCAGGTCTCTACCTTACATTGTCTGCCCTCAGTTAAACTTTTAATCTTTTTCCCTTAAGTAATATATTTTCAAAGATCGCGTTTTTTAACAATAAATTATGAGTTTACAGTTTGGACATTGATACTGCATCTACCTGCCTTACTTAAGTAATCATACAATTATACTAACTGGTGACATTTCCTATAAGAAAACTCCACCATTCACATCCCTAGTATGCCCTATGATTGACCTTATGTCTTTCTAATGGCTTGTATAGGAGTTTAATCGTCGGGTTGTAGAGGGTTTTCAAGTTACCCCACTTTGGCATCAAGGAAGTATTTGCAATGACGGGAGGTACTTATTTCTTTGAAGTTTCTTGTGTTGTTTTCAATATGCGTATTCTCTTGAAACAGAGTGGAGCAGAAATCAAGTTCAGCAGCATTGTTTGCTTCAAATTGTTATGATATTCTTTGAGTATTAAGTATTTCATATCCCCTTCTTAGGCTACTTAATTCTGTATGATGTAAAGAAATTGATATACCGTTTCTCCTTTTACTTTCCCTCACTCGAGAAGCAGGGAATATTGCTTCTTTTCTTGGAGAAGATATGTTTTTTCAGTTCAATACCAAGATGGTGCTGTATTTAACAACCCTAGGATCTTGTATTCAACATTTAATAACAAGCATATCAAGGTTGTAGCAGTTATACTGTTGCACAAAGCAAGGATCTTGCTGCACATCGTAATGGACCAGAATGGAGTTCTCATTATAGTTGTTACTAGTGTATTATAACTCTTCAGCAGCTCTTTTGCCTTAATGCTGTAAATTATATGCTACATTGCTGTTGTCTTTCTTTTCAACCAAATTTCTCCTCTCATGAATCAGACAACTTTGGAGGAATACATCGACAGCCCCTTAAACTTGCAACTATATTTTACTTGGACACTCCAACTAATGCCTGTTCCAATTGAACACCTGAACCCATGACAAAGTGTGCCTATTAGACACTCCTTGGGAAGATTTTAGGGAAATGACTCTTGATTTTCTCTTTTTAACGGAGCAGGTCTTTATTTAATGGAGCAAGAATTGTTTTTAATTGATTAGGTTCTTTTTAACTGACTGATCTTGGTTTTCTTTGTTATAACAGAGGCTTATATTTGATGTGTGTAATTAAAGTAGTGGGGCATGCTTTAATTGGTTAACTTATCCACGCAATGGGTTCTTAAGAACACGCGCAGAAGCTTTTCCAAGATTGAGCCGGAAGTGTCTAATAGGAACAGTTTGTCTTGTCTTCAGGTGCTCAATTGGAACACGCCTTAATTCAAGGGTCTAACTAAAATATACTGGCAAGTTGAAGGGGCTGTCAATGTATCCCGCCAACAAGTTTTCTTAACATTACCTCCAAAAGAAAAAAGAAAAAAATCTTAACGATTGCCTTGCCCATACCTTATAGAACAGTATCTGGTCCTAGGTTTCTCCAACATTAGATATTATCAACAAGTTCATTAAGGATATGTTTGGCCTTTGTTATCTTGTAATTAAGGTAGATTGAGTCCTAACATACTTTCTGCTTGAAGTTTGGGAAGAAGAAAATTATATTTGTATGTTATTTTTTGTACGGTTATCATATAGGTGCTGATCAATTGGTATGACTTAACTTGACAGGACAGATTATACTGAAATTGTGAAAACTGCTAGCTGGGAGTATAGCACGCGACCCATTTATGGATGGGGTGACGTTAATTCAAAGCAGAAGTCCACAGCAGGATGGCCTGCTGCTTTTCCTGTATTTGAACCACATTGGCAAATATGCATGGCAGCTGGACTTTCAACAGGTAATATCTAATTCTTTTCCCAGCTTTTCAGTTGGGCTTCAGCTTATCAAGCATTTTCTCTGCTCTTATTTCATTTCATGGAGTTCTCTGTTGTATGAGTTGGAAGTTTTTCATTAATCTACCCTCATAGTTTTTCAGTCTGATCTCTTGGCCCCAGTTTGGACTTATAAGATCCTATACGCCTCTTTACATCCTCCTTTCAGTCCTCCAATTTTTCAATTTTACCATGTCATCAGGATTAATACGATAAACTGGATCTTATGATCCTTTTATTTAAATTGTTATCTCCAAAAACCACGTGACGGATATGCTATTATGAAATCAGATTGATCATTTGACTGTTTTTTGAAATGGGTAACGGTGTATTAAAACATCAGCACAAAGGAAGTGCTGGAATCCATATTTTACGGATTACAAAATGCAATATCACCTGCACATCAAATCATTTGACTGTTTCTTTTGAACTGTTTACTAGCTGGCGTAAAAGAAGAACTCTTTATTTTGAAAAGCATCCTAAGTCCATCTAGGGTCACCCTGAGACCCTATTGAGAGTCGCAGAACTGTAGGTTTGGTATTTGACAAGTATAAAATAAGAAATAAAAGAAGGTTGGTATTTTGGACTATGCTGTAGAAACCAGATCCATATTTCATGTACTTTAATGATTAGAGTTGAAATGCAAATATTTATCAGCTAAAAAGTGGAGTGCAATGTTCTGTTGTTTGTTTGATAAACATAAAAAGGAATAAGAGGAAGCACCTAATCATGAATTTCTTCTACCAGGCTGGATAGAGTGGGATGGTCAGCGATATGAGTTTCAAAATGCTCCTTCGTACTCTGAAAAGAATTGGGGTGGTGCCTTCCCAAGAAAGTGGTTTTGGGTACCTCTTGCCTCCTTCGCGTCTCATTTTGCAGAATATATTTCAGCTTCTTGTTTGTGTCCAACTTTTTTAAGAATTATGAACCATTTTGTATACCTTGTCTACATTATTTTTCCTGTCTTTTTTTATCACTGGTTTTGGGATTGGATATTTGGCATTCAGGGTATATCCTCCATGAGATTTCTGAGAGGTAAACTCGGCTAAAGAATCAATGAACTATTTGTTATTCAATTAGCCGATGTGTCAACTTAGATCTCCTAAGTTCTCATGAAACTCTGGAAGGGAAAAAAAAAAAAAGAAGGGTAGGTGTGAGGCTGAACAGACTAATGTTCAAAGCAAACAATTAGTTCATTAAATTGTAACGTCACTTTCTACTGCTGGAAATGCAATACGTCGTTATTTTCCTTTCTCAGTTTGCATTCAATCTTTTTAATTACAGGTGCAATGCAGTGTCTTTGAAGGTGCGATTGGAGATGTTGCTTTGACAGCTGGTGGTGGATTAAGGCAGCTTCCTGGATTGAGTCAGACTTTTGAAAATGCTGCTTTGGTACTTCCCTTGCGAGTTTTGCCCTTGTTTCCCTTCTCTCTTCATTGGTTACCAGTTTTGTCGAACTTCATTTGAGCAATGCATTCAGACGAGGAAAGAGATAGTATTTCATGCTGTATCTTGAAAGCTTATACTTTGCTAGTTTTTGCTTTACTATGTAATTTCACTACCTTTATTAATCCTTACATTTAACAAATCCTTGCAGATAGGAATTCACTATGGAGGTATTTTCTATGAATTTGTTCCATGGAATGCTAGCGTTAGTTGGGAAATTGCTCAATGGGGTAAATGGCATATATTTGGGGAGAATGAGACACATACAGTAAGTTTGCATTTTGAGAATATAACTCCTTTCCGATATCTTGCATCAGTGCTGAAGCCAATTTGGCATTTTGGTTTGTCTTTACCAAATGAAAATTAATGCCCTATTTAAGTCCCAAAAGACCTGAATTTCATTGATCAGAATAGGAAGCTGATTAAGTGTGTTTGTGGTAGATGCATTAGATACCTAATTTGGATATGTAACTTGAACAGGTAGAACTGGAAGCAACGGCGGAAGATCCTGGTACCACATTGCGCGCTCCCACAGATGAGATGGGTCTCGCTCCTGCATGTAGAGACACGTGTTTCGGTGATCTAAGGCTGCGGTTATGGGAACGGAAGAGTAATGGAAGTAAAGGAAAGGTACATGTTATTTTGGGGCGTACTTATCATATTTGGAAGTTAAAGTAGAGATGCATGAACTTTTTAGGGGTCGTTTAGTTTGGAGATAAGTAAACTTATTTCCATATACTTACAAAACAAAACTTGATCAACAACTCTGTATTAGAATACCTGAAACTAGACATTTGAATTACAAACGCCGATGTAACTTATATTTGAATTTGGTGCTATGTTATGCGGGATAAAACGCAGAATAAGAATAAATGTATTAACAATAATGGATAAGAATATTTAAAGACAAAAATGCTCTTAAATTAGGGAATATCTATATAACAATACATGTATTGTTATTCATCGCAAAAGATTCTTGCATTATAAGTTATCACATAACAATTCTTGCATTACTATTCACTGCATAAGAGATCTCTAAAATTCATATCATCCACTTCGTTTGCTTGCTAAGCTTGTCTATGACTTCTATTTTTGTTAAATTTGGGGATATTTTCCTTCCATCCAAATTACTTAGCTTGACATTTCTGTTTTGTGATGTTCAGTTTTTCACTTAATATAATTCCACTAAATGGACAGGTCTATACAATTTCACTGGTTTAATAACTCCCAATTTATTAAGCAAACAATTCAAATCTGTTAAAGAATGACAATGCTACATATATTACTTTGGTGGTCTGCTCTACCAATTAACATATTACTGTTAAGGTTCAAACTCCTTATCCTCCCAACCAGTAAAATTTCACTTGTTAAAAGGGACCAAAAGAGTACCTTGATTTAGTTATTTCATACTGCATTGCATAACTTCTTCATATTTTGATCCAGTTGTCGGCCAACATTGACCCAGCAGCCATTGATCGCTTTTCTTTTATCTTCAATGACGTTGTTGCTTTTTGTAGGTTATTTTGGATGTTACAAGCAATATGGCAGGTCTAGAAGTTGGGGGAGGACCATGGTTCAACACATGGAAGGGAAAAGCACAGATGCCAGAAATTGTTACTCGAGCTATTAACGTTCCTGTGGATTTGGATAGCATATTCGGCTTGACTCCATTTCTCAAACCTCCTGGCCTGTAAGCAACGCAAAAGGCTATAGTTTGTTCTTGAATACATTTTGTAAGTAGCATCATCTTTCCTTTTGACATCTCTCAAGTGGCACCTAACAGTATTTCGTGTGATGTTATGTTATTGACCAAAATTAGAGGAAAAGAATTTGCGGTTGTAGGTGATTTTATTTATATATCGTGGTAAAACATATTGTTACCAAGGTAATCTTGTCCATCACGGTGGGGGCAGATGCGCTCAAGTCAAGTACTGTAGATGGAATTCGTACTTTAAAGTTTCAGATTGTTACTCCTATGCTTCAACAACTAAGGGTGTGTTTGGTACCTTGGAAAATATTTTTCTTGGAAAATGTTTTCTTAGAAAATAAGTGGTTCTTACTTATTTTCTAGTGTTTGGCTAGATAGCAGAAAATGTTTTTGAAAAATATATAATTTAGGTAAACATATATGAGACGAAATGGGTAAGGGCGGGAAGGGCGATCGGTCGGGGTTTACGGGCTAGAGTGGTGGTGGCGATGTTGGGGGGTGGCAGGTGTTAGGGGCCTGGCTCTTTGATATCGGGCGTGGCACGACTGTGGCAAGGATTGGGCGTGATGGCCTTGCCATTGGCCTATGTGCGGGCAAAACGATCATGCGGACAACGAGGGAGGCATTATCACACAGGCTGTTGTGGGCAAGTATTGGCCAAGGCCTTGGGATCATGCTTGGCAAAGGGTTGACAAGGCAGTGTGTGCAAGTTGGGGCGGCAAGGCAGTGTGGGCAAGTTGGGCGGCATGGCATGTCATGCGCGCCAAAATCAGTGGCACGGGCATTTTGGCTTGTGGCAATGCTAAGGGCGGGCTAAACTAAGGTAAAGCAGTGCGGGATGATGGCAAAAGCTTTAGATAGCTAAGGCAAGGCAGTATGAAGCAAAATACAAGCAATGGAACGGGTTAAACAAGGGTTGACATGGACAAGGCAGAAACTCAACCAAGACGTATGCGGGAAGCGGTGGCGTGGGGCGTGTGCACAAAGTCATGGCGGAAAGTTACGGGCATGACATTGGGGCAGAGCTATGTGAAAGGACCAAGGCTGGGCGCAATGCAGGCCTTGGGCGTGCAGGAGCTAGCCAAGCAAAGATGCACATTCAGCGAACGTGCCAAAGCAGTTGGCGGTTACCTTTTTGTAACTGTTTGTACCCATGTTGCATTATGCTTATATTCATTATCATTTTGTGTGTATCATGGCCTAAGTAGTTGGGGTGTCAACTACAAGTTAGGAACTGATTTAGCCTTAGCCTGCCAAGTGGCAAAAGGTATAGACGACAAGTATCATTGTGTTGTCAAGTCCCGAAAGGCTGCCTATGTGCTATAAATAGGTGCCCTTGGTCTTAGTCAGATTAGTGTGCGAATTTCGTGTGAAATTCAGAAGGGAAACAAGAGTGAAACATGAGGTTTTCTAAGTGTTTCAAAAGGACTAAGGCTAGGCATTAGGCGGGTCTTAGTGTTGGCTAAAGAACGACTTTTGTTCTTTGTCAAGTAGGGTTGTGATCGACTTGTGATCATAGCAAGTGAGGGTTTCCTTTGTGTGTTTTGTGATTAATACAAAGGGTTTGTTATAGATAGAATTTTATTTATGGTGAATGTCTATATTTAGAGAGATTCTAGGGTTTATTACTTGGTGGATAAGTCACCTTCTCCCTATAAATAGAGGGTTCTATTCCATTGTAATTCATCCCAAAATCAATAAGAATTACTCTCTCCCTCTCTTTCTCTGCAATACTCTTCTTCTTCTTTTATTATTTTATAACACGTTATCAGCACGAGACTCTAACCAATTGAGTAGAAGCTTTAGGATTGAGCATAATGATTGTCAATTATTCCATGAACTTCCTTTACGATAAAAATTCTGGATTTCATGTAAGTATTTTACTTTATTTTTCTCTTTTAAATTCTTGAAATTTTATAATTTGATTTTATATACAAGCAAAGACAACAAGGTTTGATTATAACTCTAATGGAGTTCGTAAGAAATTATAACCACTTGAAGTGGTAAAATTTCTATGTCTTGCCATGATCAAATTCATGTATGATTGTGGGCAAAGAATTGAAAATCCGTCCCATTGAATTTGCTCCATTCTCATTCCCTTAAGAGAATGTGATAGCAGTATGTGATAAGTCTGAAAGAAGACAAAATTATTACTATGAATGTATCAATGGATATGGACGTGACAATAGACGAAATTATAATCGTCATCATTTGTGGTAGTGAGAACAATAAGGATTCTCAAAATAATCTTTCACTCTGTGAAAAATATTTGTCATCGATTTGACATGAGATTTTATAAAGCACATATAGATGATTTGGTACATTCATGATGTGAATGTAAAAACATCTGATTTATGAATACATATTCATTCTTGGAGGAATATGAATGTGCTACAGTGGTAGTGAATACCACACTCACCTCTAAAAGGAGGTTTGAGATGGTACAAGAAAACAATGTCATTATTATGGCATGAATGATCATTGGTCACGTACCTATTGTACGCCAAAATATTTTGGCAATGTGATTATTAAAGGACAACAATAATGCAAGAAACATATCTCGCATATAATTTTGACCATGACCATAATGGTATAACTTTCTCTTTAAAAGAGATATTCACCATATGGATGTTGATGAATATGTGGTACTACAAAATTAATTGAGAACTCTGCAAGAGCCAATTATACTATTTTGGAGAAACACAATTGATTACCAATAAGGTATTGTGTTGTAGTAAGTCTCAAAGAAACTTATTCAGTTTCCAAAGTATACGCGAAAGCGGTTGATTATATTGAGACTACAAATAAAGGAAAGATTTAATATCTTCTATTACTACAACTTGTAGCGGGATAATATGTATGTGAAAAGCTACCCGCTTTATTCTCCAATTTGTACTACATAAACAAAAGAATACCACAATGAAGTAGATATTTATTGATATAAAAACCCATATCATAATAAACTTGGAGTTTATTGATAATTGCACATGTCATGGTGTAAATCCGAAGTTTATCAATATTGATAATTTCAGTTGGCATAATTGGTTTACTCATATCATAAGTATGATGTGCAAAAATAAAAGAGAATTCACATGGGTAAATATTAAAGAACTTGAAAGTTCTTTACGAATTCTCTTATGTTGCATGTTCTCATTAATTAATATACCAACTAAAATTGGGATTGAATCCCATGAATGTTGGAAATATCAAAGGTGAATATTGGCCCATTCACCTGCCATGTATACCACATAAGGTGCATCTATGAGATGGTTACATGTGCAATTATTATTGACCCACAACCTGATGTTTGCGAGGTAACTTGCTCAATAATTTAATATAGAGCATAATTTCCAGATTTTTTTATTCAAGATAGTTCTTCTTGATAAGTTGGTTTACATCACAGTTGGTTTAGAAAAAATAATTTATTGAGTGCCTCCACTTAATAGCTAAACTATTGCTTATGAGAACAAAGTTATATACATATATATCAGTTTGATATACATTATATACGAAATAATTCCATCTTATTATTATTGATGTGCGGTGTATATTATGATTAACACCATAACGCACAGAGATGGGTTCTCAAAGTTGAGAAAACAAGTTAGTTTTTCTAACATGAGGGGGAGACATGAAAAACAGTTGAGAAAAAGTTACGAGGAATGAATTATCGTTTCTACATCTAGATCCTCAATAAGATAATATGAACTTGAAATTCATAAAAGGATAATTCGTGTGCAATTTATTGCAAAGCATGCCAGACGCATTTGCTGACCCAAAGAAGGTAACTATATTCTCATTGCAAATGCTCCTATTAAGTCCTAGAAGGACAAAGTCTATGGTACGCTTAAAGCGTATAGACAAATCGGTTTCAAATAAACTTCTTGATAAAGAAGATGAGCAAATGATCTACATGATCATAACAAAAGGAGGCAAGTGATCTAGAAGATCACATGACATAACACTTCATAAAATCTCATGAGAGATTCAGGTACCTGAAAATATGAATGAAGAGATCTCTATGTTATGTCTTTATGAAAAAATATTGAAACTGACAGAAAATATTTGTCGACGACATCTATGATAGTGCTAAATATATATATATATATATATATATATAAGGATCTTAAATCTGGAGAAACAATTTCGAATAGAATTGGTTTCATATGAAAGATATGTAGTTTTGAATATGTAGTTCAAACACTTGAAAATATAAAGTCAATGACATGTGCAATTAGTTTTGGATATCTCATTTGTCTAGCATGACATGAAAATTTGATATGCATCTAAAGTCTATCATATGGCTTATATGACCTAACTTTTATGACAATCCATGAACGATTTAAGTTGCTTGAAGCATATACAATTCTTGATCTTGAAGTACCACTTCCTCAGTGCAATTTGTGCACATATGTATCTTGCTATAACTATAAGCATGATAATAATGTGATAGCGAAAATACCTCTATGGAGATATTGAAAAGGTCATTCCATGGCAGTTTATGAAGACATTACATCTTTATCAAGAAGGATGATTTCAAGGTGCAATATATTCATTCAAGTTAATATGGCTGATTTGTTTATCAAATATCTACCAAAGATCTTTTGAAAATGGTGCACAAGATTGGAATGCAAATGCTTAAAGATGTGAATTGATACTCTCATCAGGGGGAGTTAATACGCGTTGTACTCTTTTTCCCTTACAAAGCTTTGTCCCACTGAGTTTTCCTTGCAAGGTTTTTAACGAGGCAACCAAAAGGTGTATTTTTTGATATGTCTACTCTTTTTCCTTCTCTAGATTTTTTTCCCACTGGGTTTTATTTTAGCTAAGGTTTTAACGAGGCACATTATCTGTTGAATAGGCATTCAAGGGGGAGTGTTATAAATAGAATTTTATTTATGGTGAATGTCTATATTTAGAGAGATTCTAGGGTTTATTACTTGGTGGATAAGTCAACTTCTCCCTATAAATAGAGGGTTCTATTCCATTGTAATTCATCCCAAAATCAATAAGAATTACTCTCTCCCTCTCTTTCTCTGCAATACTCTTCTTCTTCTTTTATTATTTTATAACAGGGTTGGGATTTTCCCGTATTTGCTTGTATTTTCTTTACTTTTGCTGCCTAAAATTAATCAAAGGCCAAACTTGCTGAAATTTGGCTAAGTGTTGGGAAAGCTGAGT